ATAATATTGAAACATTAGCTTGGGGTCATTATAAACTGCGTTAAGTGTTGATAGTTTTTACTTTTATGTCTGCGTTTAAGAAAAATTTATATTGATTGTAAAATTATGATAATACTATAATATGACGTAGTTTATTACATATTTAATCATTGTTTTATTGTAAATAATTTAATGACGTAGTTTATTACATATTTAATCATTGTTTTATTGTAAATAATTTAAGTTAATTGTTGTTTCTATTTATTTGAGGATGAGTTAATTGTAAAATTATGATGTACTAATTGTTGTTTCTATTTATTTGAGGTTGAGTTAATTGTAAAATTATGCTGTACTAATTGTGTTAGAAATAGTATACAGATAATTCTGTTTTATATAATTTTTGGAATATATATTAATTGTTTACACCAACACTTCCATTTTTTATTTCACCCCTTTGAACTTTAGACGTGTGTTATGTTTCACTTTATCCATCCGTTCACTGCTATTGTGGCAGGACCAAGTGGGTGTGGGAAGTCAAATTTTGTAACAAATTTCATAAAATCAGTTACAGAAATATGTAATTGTGATTTTAATCAGATCACATGGTGCTTTGATGAAATGCAACCATTATATAATTTACCAAATGTTAACTATCATCAAGGAATTCCAAATCTTAATATGTTTGATGGTGAAAACCCACATCTTGTTATTATTGATGATCTAATGAGAGAGTCCGATGGAAGAATTGTGGATATATTTACAAAAGGTAGTCATCACAGGAATCTTAGTGTATTTTATCTAACACAAAATTTATTTCATCAGGGTAAAGGACAAAGAGACATATCTTTAAACTCAAGTTATATAATATATTTTAAAAACCCTCGAGATAAAACTCAAATAAGATATTTAGCAAGACAAGTATCACCAGATAACCCAAAATTCATTGAAGGTGCCTACAGGGATGCAACTCTAGAGGCGCATGGATATTTAATGGTAGATTTAAAACAGAATACCAATGATTTTTGTCGTATCAAGACAAATGTCTTTCCATTTAATGGTTTCTGTACAGTCTACGTCCCCACAAAAGAGTTTAAATACACCAAGAATCAAACAATTGAAATCATTGCTAAATGATGCATCGTCAACTCACAACGTATAAACATTTGCTAACCGCTTTGCATACGCTTAAACCAAAATATCAAAGAGCATTACTTAAAACGTGTGATGAAGAAGAAATTAACTGTATTTGTGAGTGTATTCATAACGTTTTACAAGGAAAAGTACCTCTTAAAGATCAGGATAAACAAAAATTGAATAAACATAAAAACATACTCCGTAAACTAATACGTAAGTGTAAACATAAACTAAGAAAAAATATAATTATACAAAAAGGAGGGGCTTTCTTACCAACAATATTAGGTGCAATATTGAGTGGATTAGTGAGTGGACTAGCCAGTTAACATGGAAAATGCAAAGAAAATGATACTTATCGAACCTGGATTGATTGAAAAATTAAAACAAGAAAATAATATTGAAATGCAAAATATTATGAATAGTAAGACGGAAGACCGAAAGAAATGGATATTATATTTACAAACACTGCAAAGATACCTTCATTTTACCGAAGAGGATCGTCAACCACTCAAATTACCAATTTATTCTGATACATCTAATGAAGATTCAAATGAGTTCAAAAATTGTTTTAAAAATAAAGATAGAGATCTAAAAACTTCAGTTGATATTGAATCTTTGCTGGAGGAGAATCGATCCATTAAAAGTAAAGAAAATGATGAAAATCCACTTTACACACCAGCTCAAATACTCAGTTTAATACCAAAAACTTATCATAAAAAAGGGCAGTTATTATTAAACTTAGTTGAAACAAGTAAAAGTAAAATACATTGGGATAATGAAGGTACAGTCATAATTGATAGTGAAAAAATTCCTGGAAGTAATATTGTTGATTTAATAAATGATTCACTAAGACCCCTAAAAAGAAGTGATCCGGTAGGGTGGGTTAGATTTGCTGAAGCATTAAAAGATATTAAAGTACCACTTACTTATATTGGAAATCCAAGGAGATGTGAGTTTATTAACCAACTTCAAGCAAAAGATCTGAACAAACCCTCTGAGATTGAAGTTCAAGAGTTTTCTACACCGGGCAGTAGAGATAAAAAGTCTACAACTAAAATACGTAAAGGACTTGAGTGGGAAAAATGGACCCCGTACTAGAAGAAATTAATAGGATTTATTATGATCCATCTAATCCCGCTGGTTTTGGTAGTATTGATAAATTATCAAAAGCCATGAAGGGTAAAATGAATAAAAAGCAAGTAAAGGAATGGTTAAAATCACAAGAAACATACACATTACATAAACCCATTCGAAAAAAATTCCCGCGTAATAGGTACATTCTATCAAATATTAATGAACTGTGGCAAGCTGATTTAAGTGATATGCGAACTTATTCTCAATATAATGATGGTTTCAAGTATATACTTTGTGTTATTGATGTATTTAGTAAATATGCTTTTGCAAGACCAATGAAAAATAAAAACTCAGAAACAACTAAAGAATGTTTTGAAAGTATATTTACTGAAAGTAATTTAACACCTACTCACATACAATCCGATAAAGGTACAGAATTTGTTTCAAAAGATGTACAAAAATACTTTAAATCCAAAAAGATTAATTACTATACCACTAACAATCCTGACATTAAGGCCAGTATTGTTGAACGATTTCAAAGAACACTAAAAATGAAAATGTGGCGTTATTTCACTCATAATAATACTTATAGATATATAGATGTTTTACAAGATTTAATATACTCTTATAATCACAGCTTTCACTCTAGTATTAAGATGTGCCCATGTGATGTAAATTCCAACAATATTATGACAGTTTGGACTAATCTTTATGATAGACGGTCAAAAAAACTTTCTTTAGAAAATCCTAAACCAAATTTCAATGTGGGTGATTATGTTCGAAAAACTAAATATAAACATGTATTCCAAAAGGGATATGAATCAAATTGGAGTGATGAAATATTTATTATATCTTCAATAATTGATAGATCTCCATGGGTTGTTTATACAATAACAGATTTACAAAATGAACCAATAATTGGTACTTTTTATGAAAGAGAATTACAGAAAATCACTTACAACCCCACCTCACAACATAAAATAGATAAAATAATTGACACTCGTTATTCAGGTAACAGAAAAGAAGTATTAGTGAAGTGGAAAGGTTATCCAGATAAATTTAACAGTTGGATTTTAGCTTCTAGTTTAAAAGAAATATGAATAAAGAAAGTTTCTATTTAACTTTGCTCAGCAATAGTTCAATGGAATACTTTCCTGATAACAAGACCACAAATTTTTCAACGAAATTACCAAAAGCTATAAAATTAGAAGGTGAATGGTTGGTTGGAGTTGTCGAGTTTCAATATCCATGTACCATGTTTACTGTTCAAGACCATGAAAATGTTATATACATTACAAAATCTATGTTAATGCCTAATGAAGATAAACCATCCACAGTGTACTACAAAAAACATATTCCAGCTACCAACTATGATAACGTTGAGCATATTTTAAGAGTGTTAAATGGTATCGGAGAGAACTTGAAATTTCGCTATGATGAAATAACAAAATTTGTGTCTATTTCGGTATTGGATAAAAATATAACATCCGTAAAATTATCACCCAAATTAAGTTTACAGCTAGGTTATGAACCAAATAAAAATCTCCTAGAGAGAAATCCTGCTAATTTACACTTAGGGTTACCATCTCAACTATTTCTATATTGCGACATTATCGATCCTCAGATTGTGGGTGATGTTATGACTCCTTTATTAAGAGTCATTTCATTAGATCCTACAAAATACATTTATGGTGCAAATAAAATGCACGTTTTCTCTCAACCTCACTACTTACCTGTTATGCGAAGAGAGTTCGATACGCTGGAAATAGTTATAAGATCGAGTACAGGACAAAAAATACCATTCCAGTTTGGAACCGTGTGTATTAAACTACATTTCCGAAAATTATAATAATGAATTCTCTTCGTGATCATCATAAATGTCCATATGAAAATTATAATACACATCAAGCTGGATCAGGAGTTGGAGCAATTTATAAGGGTTCACCATATCAACGCGGTCATGGTATTGGGAGCTTCTTAGGGGGGTTATTCAGATCAGTTTTACCTTTACTTTCAAGTGGTGCTCGAGTGATTGGTAAGGAGGCATTAAGCGCTGGAGTAGGACTTTTATCGGATATGGTTCAAGCCCGTCCTATGGAAGCCTCAATAAAAGATCGTCTAAAGCAAGTTAGTACGAATTTAAAACGAAAGGCTGATGAGAAAATTGATCAATTTAACATGACTGGATCTGGGTATAAAACTAAAAGAAAACGATTGACATCGTTCATTCCACCATTAACTGCTAAAGTGAAAGCTGCGAAAAAACTTTGTCTAAAACCAAAAAATATCAAAGATATATTTTCAAACTAAATATGTCTTTCCTTCATAATCATTCTTGTGAGTGCGTTAAGTCAGAATTGGATTTGTTTGCACTACCGTCTACACAAACTAGCATTGAAAATGGATTGTGGATTCATTATAAACCAATTTCATCTATTGGTGATGATGGACCTATCGAGTTTCAAGTTCCTGGGACCGGCGATGACTACATAGATTTGTCTCATACATTACTCCACATAAAGGCAAAAGTATTAAATCAAGATTCAACTAACTTGGTATCTACTACAATAGTAGCACCTGTAAATAATTGGCTGCATTCACTTTTTAGTCAACTTGATGTTTATTTAAACCAAAAACTTGTATCACCACCTAATAATACCTATGCATATCGAGCATACATGGAAACCCTTTTAAACCATAGTTTAAAAGGGTTTCCATGTATGCATGAGATTGTTTAGCAGCAGGGGCATACCCCTGCTGCTAAACAATCTCATCTTACTTGTAGTCTTTGGTATGAGGATACAGCAGGAAAAATGGATTCTACAGATGGTAAAAACATAGGATTTGTTAAAAGACAGGAATTGATTAGTGAAAGTAAGGAAATAGAAATGATTGGTCATCTTCACGGTGACATTTTTAACCAAGATAAATTTTTAATTAATGGTGTTGAAATGAGTGTTAAATTGGTTCGATCAAGAGAGAGTTTTAATTTAATTGTTGGGTCAAACGATGTAAAGTTTAAAGTTTGCATTACGGACGCAACTCTTATTGTTCGACGAGCACGAATTAATCCAAGTGTATTACTCGCACATCAAAAAGTTTTAGCTTCTACCACTGCTAAATATCCTATTACTCGAGCTGAAGTAAAAGTTTTAACAATTCCTTCGGGTGTTCAAGGAAAAACTCTTGATAATATATTTTTAGGACAGGTACCGAAAAGATGTATAATTGGATTTGTGAACAATTCTGCATTTAATTGTTCCCTTACTAAAAATCCATTTAACTTTGAAAACTATGGTATTAATTCTTTCAGCTTATATATTGATGGTCAACAAATACCTTCAAAAGCTTTGCAACCATCTTTTAATAATAGCATATTTACATCAGCATATCATACTCTATTCTCGGGAACTGGTATTCACTTTCTTAATGAAGGAAATGGAATCTCTTGTGAACAGTATGGCAAAGGTTACTGTCTATTAGCATTTGACTTAACTCCTGATTTATCAGCTAACTCATCAACTCATTGGAATCTCATAAAGCATGGTAGTGTAAGAATAGAAGTACGATTTGAATCCTCATTAATACAAACAATTAACTGTATAGTTTATGCTGAGTTTGATAATATTATTGAGATAGATAAAAACAGAAATGTTACTGTAGACTATAGTAGTTAAGGTTATAATATGTGTTGTGTGTTAGATTTTATGTGTTATGTGTAATGCATTTTGTGTGTATGTAACTATGTGAAACGTTATAAAATTAAATAAAACAAATTGTATGCAATATATTTTTTTTATTTCTTTATAAATCTTCTATTTAATCTAATACAAAACACTGTTCGAGTTGAAATTTTACATAAGCACACTGACTAAACCACTGAACATGCTGCTGCCAAGGATCATCATCATCTTCCCAATCTTTTAAACCACCACCACAATGGAAACACTTGGTCCCGTCTGCATGACCAGTATAAAAGAAACCAGCTTCTGCAAGATCTTCAGGTTTCTGTCGCATAACGAGAGGCCAGTTTTCGAAACTAAGCAAACGGCTAGATTTTGAACTGGAGAATGGATATTCAGCTCTTGAGTACTGCATACTCTTCTCGTTTTCTTCTCCACTCAGTGTTGTAGTTTTGTTATTCAATGATGTGTTTTGTACACGTATGCCACACTCATCTCTTCCTTCCGCTCTTGTCTTCCTGTAATTGAAGTAAACAGAATCACATTCACTAATGATCAGCTAATGACTGTCATTGTTAAAAAAGTATTTTTTAACTTTTTCACTTTCTGCTATTGTCTTTGTTATATTGTATACGAGGGCGTTTGTGTTGTCGTAGATGCTATCCTTATTAGTCTTTACGTAATATTTAATTCTCGTGGAAGCATTTTTCCAATGATCAGTAGTTGGAATCTTGGATAGCTTCTTCATATCGTACATTTCAATTTTGATGAGATGCGTCGCTTGGTCTCCGTCGTCAGAATTAGTAGAAATGTATGATACACCATCTCTAGCGGCTCGTGCTACGGTTGATGATAACAGCTTCCTCTTTTTTATTTTTTATTCAGCTTCAAAAAATTGATCAATCGATTGCGATTTTCTTTTTCCACCATCGCATGTGTTATTATTAATGACGAGGTCATCACTCTCTTCTTGAGGGGAGAGTGGCGAGTAGTAATACTGTTTATAGGTATTTTCATCGAAGCTCAATGATTTCTGCAACAACACAGTTATCATGTTAATATCAATTTGTTAACACTTAATCATAAAAGTTAAAAAAGTTAAAGTTACAGCCTATGCTAACCATCTGAGTTACCACGGCTTAATCATATACATACACAATATTTAAATAAAATAATACACACGCATGAAAATAACAGAAAAAAAGTAATTTAGTCAATAGAATAAACACTTACATCCATAGCCTTTGGTGCATTGAAGTAACACAAATGTACTATTGATAGATCCACTGCAGTCAAACGACTATACACTAACTCGATGACTGCGTCTGTTGGTCTTATATACCACCAGTATGTAAAAATTCTAATCTAAAGTATTTCCGTAATGAGTTGATAATTACTTTATGCGTCAACCAGTTTATCTCACATTTCCGTTGCCTATCTCAACATTTCTTCGTATTGTGTTTTGTTTGGTGATCAATGACTCAAGTACGATTTGTATAACACAAAAATGCAATTTAATATTTAGAAATCACTATAATTGACCATTCCTATGTTATTCATTGAGTAGATTGATACTGTAATAATCTACTAATAGCAGTAATATCATGGATACACTAGATGTACAACAACATCTGAAAAAGATTCACCCCAGTCTAGAAAATAATGTTTATGCAGCTAATAGACTACCTATGTATACCCACGTACCAACGTATATAATATGCAATTTGGATACAGATGATAAGCCAGGGTCACATTGGGTAGCTTTATATATCGATACGAATGACGTCGGTCAATATTTTGATTCATATGGACGATCACCTGTACGATATCATCTAGAGTTTATAAAAAGGAATTGTAAAAGATGGAACTGGAATGTTGATAGGATTCAGAATGAGTGGACTTCAGTTTGTGGCGAATATTGCTTAATGTATTTGCTATATAAGTTTCAAGGATGTTCAATACATAGTTTTACGAGTATATTTACAAGGAACACATTGTACAACGATATTTTAGTGGATGAGATGTTTCGCTCCTATTTTATAGATAATAAGTAATAAGATTTTGTATTTTATAAATAAAAATTGTAACAAAATTATGTAATGTGTTTTATTGATGATTCAGATTAGCGTTGTATAATTAGGAACAAAGAAGTATAATACAATAGCACTGATATAGTCGACGCACACGCTGCAATGAAGGTGATTAATGAACAATAGAACAATAGAAATAGGAACAATGGGACGCTAATGACGGTGGAGGCCTTTACCGGATATCAATTAGATATTAGCTAATTGATCTTCACATCTCCGGAACCGTGCATCCTACACAAAAATGGACCGCAGATTCGTGATCAGAGCATGCCAAAACCTTTTTTTTTTTTGTAGGATCGTGGGTCGACGAACGTCGTTGAATCGCTTCTGACGCAGGTGGTCCAGAAATGGTACAACTACACAACTGACTTCCCAGAGCGTCGGTGCTTCACCTCAGCTATATGTTCTTTCACGTGGATTTTAATGGATGCTTGTACACTCCTGCATCTTGTAGAAGAATATTACACTTGACCGATGGTAAAAATCTACTAATCTTCTTCGGCGGCTTGAAGTATGTTTTAATAGAAGCTCGCTTCAAAATGTAGCCAACCTTGTCTGTGACTCCTCTGACATAGGGTAGTGCAGCAGGCACACGCTCGACTGTGGTCGGCTTCACTCGGTCACTGTGACGTAGGCGCGGGACCCGAAGCTTTTTGTCTTGCAACACTTGCCCGACGTGCTGAAGCTCGGCGGCCAGATGTTTTCTGTCACAGATCTCTCGTGCTCTCTGAAACAAAGATTTTCCCACAGTAGCTAACTGTGATGGATGATGGTGCGATTCACCATTTAAATATAGGTTGGTATGGGTCTTTTTCCTATACACAGTGTGACCAATAGTGTTATCGAGATTTCGGATGACTAACACATCCAGGAAAGCTAAAGAATTGTTTGACTTCAAGATACTGTGAGCTCATTCTGCGTAGATCGGACCAAACATTAATATTCAAAAACTGAAGGTAGCCTGGCTAACTATGAAATCAGGACGTCAAACACCTCAGTTGACCGTTGACCATGACAGTTGACCATGACCGTGGGTGCTGTAAAGCACCCGAAACCTCGGAAATTAAAAGGTTAAACTAAACGCCATAAAATCTGTAAAAAAATAGTTTCATTTAATGTGTAGTCATCGCGTAAATGTAGGAAATCATTCAATACCTTCTCATTAATTCTCTTATAAGGGTTTTAATTGCCATAGCCGCCACTTTTGCCAAGCGAGTTGACATCCATTTTTTATTTTCTAGTTGTTATTAGGAAGATGCTGCTGCTCATAACTTAGTATGTTTAGTACTGTCGCCTCTATCAGCACACTCGAGACGATATTATGAGGTAGTCGATATTCTTCTACCGTCACTACACAGTGAAACAAATTGTATATTTATACAGAAATGACATAATATTATTTTATATTCCCACAGTAAGCAGTCCGCATTGATTCGGAATGAAACTAATCGCAACACAAACATTCTAATTAGTTGACCGTCAAATAACTAGTTTAAGACAATGGCACTGCCCATAATATAAATTAAAAATATCATTTAATAAAATTTCTGAAAATATACAGAAATTATACGAAATTTCTCTAACTGATAAAAATTGACGGCGAGTTTTCAATCTAAATTCAAATCTTCAAAGTCAAGTTTAATTAAGGGAGAATGACACAAAATTAGGTAATTTATTCAATATTGTGAGGGTTTTTGGGGACTACGCTGGTTAAATTTATTTTAAAATATCAATTTAAAATTTCAACCTGTGCCAAATACTATTAAAGAGAAAGAGCTAGTAACAGTTAATTAAATAAAACACTTGGAGGTAGGAGGATCGCTTTTCTGCCTAAGAGTCTGTCTGGGTAGAGTAGAGTAGAGCCAGTAAAATTGCCGAAGGCTAGGCATTCCATCTTACTTATTTCATACTAGCCAAGCTAATGATAAAATATACTTTTAGCCTTTTTTTAAATTGTGATATTGAAGGTGATCATATGCGGCAGTAGCAATTACCATCAGGTGGACTTTAAATTCACTCTAATGTTTTTTTTTTCTTGATGTTTAAATATCAACATTTATTTTATGGTGCCAATCATTATTCAATTCAAATTATAATATGAATCAAATATCGCAAATGAATAGTATTACATAAAATATATAATAAATATTATAATCATTAAATTCAGCGTTATTATGTCAGAGCTTAATATATATATATTAAAATATGATTATATGTAAAGAGTAAAATATAAATAACTCAATTCTGATTCCAAGACAATTTACCCTTCGTAAGGAGAAGACGTCTCCGATATAAAAAGTGGTAGGTGTTGCCCAACATATAATATACTAGAAAAACTCTCATATGTGTTTCTGTAACATAGTATATATATATGCCAAATTTCAATCATCCACGTCTAATAGTCTCTGAGAATTAAAAAAAACCTGAGACAAACAGACATTGAGGCGCAAACAAGGACGTGACTATAAGTAATCCAAGTTTACTAATTTTGGCACGGAGCAGTATTAATGATGTTTCTAAATTGAAGCCCATTCGAGGGAACCGCGGATAAAAATGTAGTAACTTATAAACGGACTTAATGCCTGAGGCTTTCTCTTAAAGTGTAGCTTAGGTACAGTGATACGAAGGTACAATGAAATTTAATATTGTGTATGAAAATAAGTTCATGAAAGAATATTAAAATAAAATAAATATAGTTTCGTGATGGTATACAGAGATCATATAATAAATCGTATGGTCCCTACACAGTACAACAAACAATATAAAAAATCGTAAATATGTATTCGTAAAAATAAAACAATAAATATGTATTATACATAAGTGTATCGAATATTCATATAATTTTAAGTCATATAGTTATACATTCAGAGTTTCCCTTCGTTTGCCGGTAAACAGGCCACGGGA